TCGCTTCAGGAGGCCTTTATTAACCCCCCGGAGCCGTGTGGACTTCTTTTATAATGGATGGGTTCAAATTTTTGGACTTCAAATTTTGGGCTACTATCCACTCCCATTATAAAGCTTGGAAGAGCAAGGATGTTTTTTTAATATAACTCTGATTGTATTTGTCTGAAAGAAGAAAGTCATATACATCCAGGATGGCTTGAAGGTAAGTAAATCATGGTGTAATTTTCATTTTTGGGTGAACTACCCCTTTAAGTAGATTGCTATATGTTGCCTAATTTTTTTGAGTTAGGTCAACTTTTTTTTTTTTACAGTGTTATACATGAATAGTTTGATAATGATTGGAGATGAATAACAGCACCATCCTAGATGTACATAACTTTCTTCTTTCAGATGAATACAATCAGAGTTATATTAAAAAACATCCTTGCTTTTCCAAGCTTTATAATGGGAGTGGATGGTAGGCCAAAATTTGAAGTCCAAAAAATTGAACCAATCCATTATAAAAGAAGTCCACACGGCTCCGGGGGTTTGTAATTTTCATTTTTGGGTGAACTACCCCTTTAAGTAGATTGCTATATGTTGCCTAATTTTTTTGAGTTAGGTCAACTTTTTTTTTTTTACAGTGTTATACATGAATAGTTTGATAATGATTGGAGATGAATAACAGCTCATTATGGACAGAATAACTACTATAACAGAAGAATGCACCATCTTCAGCATGCAAAGTTCTTCATGCTCTTGAACTGTTCTTTTGAGCTATTAATTATTTCTAGATTACGTAAATCTGCGCACATGCAATTTATTTAAGAATAAAGCCTACTTGACGCCTGAAGCCTACTTGACAATATTCACCATGACATGAAGAGCATTTTGTGATTGTGATTAAACCTTTCAGCTTCTTATGATTTCTTTTCCCTGATTCAATTTTTAAAATTCCCTGTCAAGAGTAATCCTGAGATTGTACCTGTACTTTGAAAAGAGTTTCCCAAACATGGTCTGAAGTGGCATAAGAAAGATTAAAACTGCTATGCCCGCAAGGCATGATGCTCCGACCTCTTGCCAAAGCAGACCAATCACAGCTGCGGCTTGCAGAGGCCCCATCCACAAGTAGTGCAGAAAAATAGTCAACTGGGAAAAGACATGTGTACAAAACAACAGATAATTATATCATACTACTTCACCAACCAAAAATACCATGTTATTACCATGGGGTTTGGATGTGGCACTATAGTAACACCACGTTTTTTGGACACGTACAAACACAACTATTCAAAAGTTTGGAGTTGATCAGATTTTTGAATGTTTTTGAATATCTTTTATGCTCACCAAAGCTGCAATTATTTGATCAAAAATACAGTAAAAACAGTAATATTGTGAAATTATTACAATTGAAAATAACCATTTTCTATTAGAATATTTTTTAAATGTAATTTATTCCTGTTATGACAAAGCTGAATTTTCAGCATCATTACTCCAGTCTTCAGCGTCACATGATCCTTCAGAAATCATTCTAATACACTGATATGCTGCTCAAAAAACATTTCTAATTATTATCAATGTTGAAAACAGTTGTGCTGCTTAATATATTGATAAAAATTATAAGTAATATTTGTGGAAACTATGATACTTTTTTTCAGGATTCTTTGAAAAATAAAGGAAAGGTAAGTTAAAGTGAAAAATAAATCTTTTGTAACATCATAAATGTATTTACTGTCACTTTTTGCATTCTTACTGAATAAAAGTATTAATTTCTTTCAAAAAAACAACACAAAACAAATCTTACTGACCCCAAACTTTTCAACAGTAATGCATGTTTCTTGGATTACCATGTAAATATCATAGTACATGAACCATGGAGTACCATATATGCTATAGACTACACAAGTACAAAAGTATTAACCACCAACAATTGTGTGGTTTTTATATAGTACATCAGGTTTGAAGTTTAGATTATATAAAATGCACATTTTTGAAATAAAACCAACATCTGGATTCCATCATCAGCGATCATTTAATAAGCTCTTACATAGCAGCACAAAACCATGACGTAGCATGTTATAGTTCATGAGACAATTTAGTGTAGTACTTGGGACATGGTGTACTGCTTTTGTAATTTCACATTACAAACAGCCCAAGAGATTATTTTTAGAATCTACAAAAAAGGAGCTTAAACTTCAACGTTCTAATTTCGGGCAACTTGGACTGAACAAAAACCGAACTTCCTGGAATTCTTCACAGAACCCCTTTGATGTCTGCTGGTAAATGCAAGAGAAACGCCTCCAAATACTGATGTAAAACAATGACATTCCTACTACAAATACACAGAATAACTGCTCAGATAGTATGAACATGGTTTGAAATTATGTCATGTGTTTACCGAGCTGCGTTAAAATAATACATAACACACAGCCATCTATCACATAATGATAATAAACTCGACTGCTAGAGACTCCACTGGCCTGATTAATGGGTGAGTTAGAAACCACAACACATAAAAACAGTTTAAAATGTTTAACTAGGGCTGGACAATAATTCAATATCAATATGTATCGCGATATAATTTTTTTCAATAACGGTGATATGATTTTTAAACACATTTCCGATATTTCGATATACATTACCAGTGTTTCCCATACATTGATTTATTTGTGCCGTTTGACTTCGTTGAATAAACATGAGCACTGCACGTTTCAAAATCAAAAAATGTCGCGGGTGTTTTATATAAATGTATCTGTGAAGGGAACCGACTGTCTTCAGAAAAGTTTCAATGACATTTTCATTTTATCTGATAAAGTAGCCCAAAAGATCAGCATTTATGTGAAATAAAAAGCTTTTGTAACATTATATACTATTCCATTCAGTATAATTTTTATTATTTTTTTGGGAAATTATAGAAATTAATACTTTTATTTAGCAAGGATGCTTAAAATTTATCAAAAGTGATGATAAAGGCATTTATAATGTTACAAAAGATTTCTATTTCAGATAAATAGTGTTCATATCGATATCGGAATTATATCGTATCGACCGAAATTAAGAAATATCGTGATATAAATTTGGGCCATATCGTCCAGCCCTATGTTTAACTAATCATTTTCATTTCCCAATAACCCGAAGTCAGATTGTAAACACACATAAGGTTAAGACGACCTATTTGAGACCTCTCATGCTACTCTGAACGCTGGCCAATCTGTTACCAAGTAACACAAGCCCTTTACGGTAAATCACTCGTGTCGCCTTTGGCTGTTTTAACTGGAAAATTAACTACACAAAACAATTCCCTGACTAAACAAGTAACGCGTTTAATTCCAATAAAAAAAAAAAAACCTGAGTGACCTGCTTCAAAAACAGGAAATTGACAACCAGTGACTAACTCTTAAGAGGAAGACAAAGAAGTTCTGGAAATTTCCTACCTCATCGAACTTGTTGACGTCATTCGACAAAAGGTTAACAATCTGCCCGGTGGTTGTCTGGCCCATGGCTGTGGCACTAAGGCACAACGCCTAAAAGAAGAAACAATTCAGAGGGTTTGTGGGAAATACCGTGATAAGGAATTGCCCTCAGCCAAGCCTAAAAATAAATAAATCATTCCTATTGCTCATATCTACAGACACTTTATTAAAAGAAAGAGAGAGAGAGAGAGAGAGAGAGAGAGATGTGGCACACTTGGAAAAAAAAGACAGAACCTCAGATTCCCATGTAAACATCATGTTATACAAATATGGTACTTATTAATAATCCTGGTGCTACCATCTGGTACTATCACTGTAACTTGGCACCTCCTCAGAAATTTTTTTCTGGAAAATCAGGTTTGTGTTTTTAAGAAAATCTAACCTTTTTGTAGATCATGTGACACATTGCAATGCGGATTTTCATTCCAGCTCTTTGGACGTGGTAAAAGTAGAGGTGGTGGAGTAAAGCCAGACCCAGAGCGGAGAGAGAGATGCCTGCTGCATATCCATAAGCTTCATACAACGCTGCCATGTTATCAGGCTCAGATCTCTCAAAATACTGAATGAGTTTTCCCAAAAACACTGGTTGAATCACTTTAATCACCTCCTATAATGGGGAAGAAGAAACATCCGATAATAACAATGTGAAATAAATGACATTTTGTACTTGTAAGAACAATATGAGGCTGAACGGATTAGACGTTCACATTCCTAAAAACATCCACACCCTTGTCTTTATTATACGAGGAAATTGTGGTAGCCTTTTTTACAGTCTTGTTCTACATTTAAGCAAATAGAACCCCAAAATCTGTTTTATTGTTTTCCAAAATCCATGTTTAAATTTTTCTGGAATCTGTTTTAATGGTTTAATAAAATTCTGATAATCAAAGTGGATATCAAATCAGCTGAATTCATAAACCTTTAAAAATGTAGCCATTTATTAACATTTTAATAAATTATGTTGACGGCAGCCATTGACTTCCTTAGTATGGAAAAAAATACTATGGAATGGCTACCGTCCACTGTTTGGTTACCAACATTCTTCAAAATATCTTCTTTTGTGTTCAACAGAAGAAAGAAACTCGCTCAGTTTTGGAAGTGGAGGATGAGTAAATGACTGTTTTTTTTTTTTTGGATAAACTATCCCTTTAATACAAATCTATTAGGCTATTTATTAAAAATGATGGTTATTAAATGAATGCATAAACATTTAACAACTGAATTAATCTTAAAATGCAATCAAACTAAATTTGAATAATTCCTTTCCATTTTTGGCAAACAAAATCCTTAATTGACAAAATATTGTGTTAAATTCCATAATAAATAATGTTTTAATAAACTCTATTACTATTATTATTACTTTGAGAAATAAATTCTACAGTAAAATAGTGATATAATCAGGGGTGCACATAAGTGGTCCACAGGTGCGGCCAAAATAAAAAATGCACTGTATAAATAAGTTCTGACAGCGCATTTGCGTACCGACATGGTTGACAGCTGTAAATGCACAATTACCATTTTAGATCTATTTAAAAGCACAAATCTAGGCTACCCACTGCCGTTTTCAAAGCACAGTGCAAAACTGTGACATTTCATTCACTGACGCGCTTCAATTCATAGCTTTCAGTCACGTGACCGGCTCGAAGACTTGGAGGGCAAAACATCCATTGAACTGCAGCACAAGTCTGTCAATTTTGTCAACAGTGCGACAAAATGTTGTAAAAACACTTAAAGTGCCTTAATATATTTAAAATCGTAATATTAAAGGATCAAATTCAGTAATCACCATATTAATGATGCATTGTTTACATAGGCAAGCAGATGAGGCCGGAATATGAACGCAATGTGCTAAATGGTTCAGTATTTTCCTTATAATGGTTTTCCATGGGAAACTATTTATGTGAAACTTAACATATCACACATTCACATATGTAAAACATAATGTGCACATTGTGATCATATTCTGGCTTCATCTGCTTGCCTGTACAAAATATACATAATCAATAAGGTGTTTACTGAATTTCGCCTTTTAATATCTGCGTTTTACTACATTACTACTTAATGCAATCTGCGTAAAAATAACGGTCAGTCGGTCAGTGGAGCAAAGCTTGGTTTTGCCCTCCAGGTGGGCATTCCTATAAGGGTGTGACGTCACGTGAAAACTATCAATCGGCAGCGCTAAACCCGGAAGTGCATATACTTACTTGCCGGCAACCCGCCAAAATAAAAGCCAGCTGATTTTAAGGATAAAAATGATGAAAATTAATATTAAAAAAAATAGTAGTAGTAAAACAGTATTATCACACTTTATTATTTTGTTTAATATTTTATTTAAAAAAAATAAAGTGCAATAATATTATCACTATTATTAATTGATTTTTTATAGTTATATTTAATGGGTCACACTATGTGCAGTGTGAGGACCAAACCAAATCTCCAGGTTCTCTTATAAGAACCAGGCTGAAAAACGTATGTGCAACCCTGGATATAACTGTCATAATTTCTTCAAGTTAAACCAAGCTTTTATTTTGGCTGGTTGTAGTGAAGCCAAACCTTTGAGTTTCGGTGTGTATCTAACAATAGTTTTATCAAATGAAATGAAGAAATACCGTCCCTTGTTTTCCACAGGGGCATATATGTAGGGCTGGGTAAAAAATATAGATATCTTGATATTAATCGATTCTCATTTTTACGGAACGATATCGATTCTTAAATCCCAAGAATCGATTAGTCTAGCCTGTTTTCAGTTAGTGGACGGAACGTTGAAGGGCACTTCCCATCCAATAAATCGCAATAAGCATTCACGATACAGCGATTCTGCAATAATCGATATATTGCTAGACAATCCTACAACGATACATCACGATATCTGTCTAACTATGAAAACAAAATGCCTGTGAAAAGGTTAAGTGCAAGTGTTCTCTCTTTCTTCAAGTCCAAACTATTAGAAAACAGCACACAATTTCTGAAAATCAAATTTAACATGCTAAGTAAATTAATAATTTTATTCTTGGACTTATTAAAAGCTTACACTTTTCTTTGTGTGTAAACCAACACATTTAACTGCTTATCAACTTTATATATAGCCTATATATATATAAACCTGGTACATTTCAAAATTTACCTGGAGTGTTTTTTCAACCTTTCCTCTCCTCTCATCATAAAAACGGAGCCCCGCACACATGACATGCAGGGAAAAAATAGCCGTTCACATCACCTCTTTTGCGCGCTCAGGTTCGTTATTTCAAATGTAGACGCGTCGTTGTTTCGTCGTCCATGCCATAGGTGCAGATTTGTGTTTCTGCCGGTCGGTGCCCACTGCATATTGCACTTGCAATATCTGAGAGAGAGGGAGAGCATCCAGTTTTGTTGACACGCCGGTGACACTCTCTCAATCATATAGTTAGTGAGGGAAATCCACCTGCGATCCGAGCGGAGAGGTTAGGCTACTGATGGACTGAATATGCCCTCTGCAGTAATAATGTGATCGGTGCCTATGGTCCACACTGATAGCTTTTCCGGTGCAGTTTTTTAGTTCTCATTTCCATAAACATATATATATAGCAGTAGAGCTAATACAGTGGCTGGAAATCTGTTTATCCTTCGGTTCCTCGTGGTTCCCCATCTTCATAGAGAACGCAGTTCATGGTTGCTCAGAGCGCTTTGGAAAGAAGGTGGAAATGGCGCGGCCGCGATTTCCACGCATTTTTAGACTGGGAGCAGGGAAATCTATATAGAGCGCCTTATTGTAATAATTAAAATATCGATGTTTGGCACCAGATATCTATTCTCGTATCGCATGGAGAAGGACAACAATATATCACCATATCGATATATTGCCCCACCCCTACTAAATATATGCACCATATAACATATTCATTATAAAATGTACTGTTCTTCAATGTTTAATTTATGTTTGAATAAATCCATAAAATTTTTATGACAGCCACCATTAAGTTTATATTTCAAAAAAACGAATTGAAGTAGAAATGTTATGTAATTGTAACTTTATTATTTAAAAAACTTCATTAAGTGTAAAATCATGAAATTTGTGTCAAAACCCAGCCCTACATATATGTGCTATGTAGTGGTCGACCGATATTGGTTTTTTGACAGTCGATGTCGATATCTTGGAAAGCCGGGTGGCCGATGGCCGATATAAAGCCGATATAATTGTATTTATTTTAATTAATATTTAAGAAATTTTAAATCATTTGAAAATGGATTTAAAAATTATTTTGTAAAATAAACATACTTATACTTTAGATGACAAAGTATTTTCCACAAATAAATAAATCTTTTTATAATTTTATAATTAAAAAGTAAGTAAACTGTAACCAACAGGGCACTCAGTATTCTGGGAAATTTGTGTGCATTGGGTAGGGCTGCATGATAAATCGAAATGGAATCGAGATCGCGATTCGACAGAAGCTGCGATATGACATGAATATGACAGTGGGCAAGTGCAGCATAATTTGAAATCACGAATTTATGTTTAAAGCATTCAATTTGCACAGACCGAAAGTAGGGGTGTAACGATTCACTCGTTTTCTCGATGCATCGATTACAAACTCTGACGATGCAATGCATCGATCTTGAAACATGGATTTTTGAATCGTCGATTTCGGACAGTAATTGATTTAAAACGCTAAGAATCTAATGAATCTCGTTTTCTATAGCGATTCAATGCTTTCAAAATATATACACATTAAATTACTACAAGCAGGAATTAATGTAGAGGGCTGCCACTAACGACTTTTTATTTCGATTAATCTATCGACTAATTTATCGATTAATCTAAACGATTAATTTCCCACACAAAAAAATCAACAATTTTACTTAAGAATATTTTATTAAGTCCAGGTCCACTAGTGCTATGTACTTTCTATTATAACTAGGCACTAATCCTGAACCTAACCATAAACCTAGCCTTAACCCATATTAATTTCAAGTAGTTACTTTATATTTCTTGGTACTTTCTTGTGAAAGTACACTGTAAGTGTCTGTACTGTACAATAAAGTGCAACAAAAAGTTTGCATTCGAGTGAGGTGAACAGTGCACAGACATCCACTAGTGCAGGGTGTCTACAGATATGATCAAGTTAAATTTAAGACTTTTTAAGACCTTTTTAATACCACCTTATGTGAAATTTAAGACCAAACCTGTGATGGAAATACACATTATATTACATACATATATGTAATATTTAACACGTTTAAATGTAAAAAGAAAACAAAATATCATCGCTGTCAAAAATTCTATTTGTTATTACGATATACAGTGAACTTTTCATATCAGCAGACAATATCCCATACAAAATATTCCCACAAAACAAAAGTGTCGCATCACCGAGATTTTTGGTGGTGTAAACAATTTATTCTGAAACAATATTTTCATCAGTTTTCTGTCAGCTTTTACATGTTTTACATGTTTCTGTCAGCTTTCTGCATGTTTTTAATATTTACCACAGGATGTCATTTACCTTTATAAGCACTCTTAAAACTGAGTGCCGTGTGATGCTTTTGTTTAAACAACACTTCAGGTGATGCATGTTAAGACGGTGAATCATCAACAGAACTTATAAAATGTGCTTTGTCATTCAGCCATCAATGGTTTCAGTTTAAAGTTTAATGTGAATACACACCAGACTTATAGTTAACTAGAGGGGAGCTTCACTGCCTTCACTTTGTGTACCACATAAAACATCAGGCACATCCTGGATCAGAACGTACCTCTATAAGAGTGAACACTCCCAGTACTGCATATGATCTCCAGTAGCACCTGATAATGGCTTTGGTGAGTTTGGGTGTCCTGAGTTCTTTGGTTGCTTTTTCAACTTCTTGGTCCCAGTAGCTATGAGTGTGGGAAAAAGATGAGTAAGGCTTAAAGGGGTCATATGATGCGATTTAAAGTTTTCCTTTCTCTTTGGAGTGTTACAAGCTGATTGTCCATAGATAAGATCCCTGAAGTTGCAAAGACTAAAGTCTCAAAACCAAAGAGATATTCTTTATCAAAGTTAAGACTCT